GGCTCCAGACTCAAGCGTTTAAGGGTTACGCTGTACTGTCACACCCAAGTCACTGATTAATTTACTCAGGCTTTAGGCTAGAAAATACGAGCTACAGGAGAGGTCAAGGGAAGTAAGTTTCAAGATTCCCGTCTACTCGCACTGCCACCCGCCACGCCAGCCTCTGGGCCCCTGCCCCACAGCTTCAACCTGTCACGTGTTCCTCCTCTCCCCAGTCTCATCGGAAGCCCGCTCTCTACATCTTCAAGCACTGAAGAGCAGGATGAAAAAATTATAACAGCACAGAGGAGAGGCCAACAGGTCACAAAAAGCAATTTTTCTGTCTTCTGCGAATGGAGCGGAAAGGATCTCATGAAGAGCATTTGATGAACCCTGCACGACAGGAGAGCTTTTCCAGGCTGCTGGATGTCACTCTGAGGGGACATGTCTGATACTCTGGACAAGTGGAGAGATTGTGTCTATTTAGGTGATATTATACACAGGGGCAAAGTTAAATCCCCACCTGAGAAACTACTTTCTTCAAATCCCCTCTGCCCTCACTTCCATCTCCCCTAAAAGTCTGCAATAATCCCTGACCACTAACCAGACCTCTCTAATCGTTAATCAGTTCTTACCTGCACGGCACTGGGTCCATAGGACAAAAGGCAAGAGACAGTATGACTTAGAACCCATCATCTGGAGAAGCTAAAAGCACATCCCCTGAATAGTGTCTTATAAGCAACACCTTCATATATGGAAGGAGAACACATTTAGTGAGACAAAAAGTGGGCAATGAAATTAGAAATGCCTACACCTCGACCACCTCATGACATTAAGGAATCAGATATGTAATTTACAGCCTAGATTGTCTGCACCTCTTTCTACCCAAACTCTAAACTCTGGCGTCTCCCAGGGTATCAGTAAGTATTAAGGGGGAAAAATACTTTTAGTATTTAAAACCCTAGATGTTGTTATACAAAATCCCGCTAATATTAAGAAAATGTTTGACAAAGTTTTAGACATACGAATTTAATATATAAGAACATTAGCTATCTATTTAATCCCTGAATTAACTTTAACATGTTAAACAGACATTATTTAAGATGCCAGGAGGAAGGAGCTTATTCAACTTGAAAAGTTGTATTACTGTGGAGTAATGTTATATATTATTCTGAAATGTTCGGCCTTCAAAACATTGGTACCACGTAGAATGAAATCATTCATTGACGCAGTGTTTTAAATTTTGTGGCTGGTAGATGGTGATCTTCAGTCTCCAAAATGAACTTGTCTTTGAATGAACTTGGTTACACCCAGTTTGAATGGACCCCTTTGGCAGCAGTTAAAGATCTTTTTTACCCACATGATCACAATCACAATTGGTTAAAACAATTTCTGAACTACAATATTTGTGGTTTTACCTTCTAATCTTTAAAAGGTCAAAAAACTAAACATTTTGTTTTTTTATTACAAGAATTCTATAAGAGCTATTATGTAAAAGAAAATTTTTAAATTAATATTATTCAGTCAGCAGTGTTAGAAATTTTCAGATACTTTGATAACTAAAAAAAGAAAACTAAGCACTGTAAATATATATCATACTTCTGTATTCTTCTGTAAAATACACTATATGGATAAGAACTTTTTCTAAATACCGTATAGACTGGATTTCAATATAAATTACATCCTACTGAAGTTAAAGTGATGTTTTTAATATTAGGACAATCCCTAACTTAAATACTTTGATTTCAATAGAAAGGGAACAAACAATATTTCAAGTAATCAAAGAAATTCATGTTTCTTTTTAAAGGTTAGGTGATATTTCATATTCCTTTATATATGCAACTGAACTATACAAATAAGCTTTTGGTAGAAAATGAGAGTACTTTAAATTATATCAACACACGAATTGCAAGATGTCAAGCGTCTGTCGTGTAAACCCCTACTTTATGCTACTTGACACATAAGATACTTTTCTTACTCATTTTCAAAACGCTTAACTTGGGTCTGCTCTTCTGTCTCGATTACTAATATAAATCCGTTATGTGAGATCCTATCATTAGATGAAAGAGGGAGGGAGGAAGCAAAATTCTATTAATAATTTCTTTGTTTGATGAGCTACTCTAAAAAAAAAATAGGAGAAAGAGGAGATGAATCTCTATATCAACCTTCTAAGATTTAGGAATGTTTTAAGAGTTTATGTTTTAGTTTTTAGGTATGTTTCATTTTAAAAAGGCAATTACTTTGTTTGAGAAGCCTATTTTCTGGATATGTCTTATTAGATTGGGGAGGAATTAACCAAGTATCAAAGATGAACACCATCCATACTGAGCGTTTTGCAGAAGGCTGGTAGTTTTAAAACTTGAAGAAGTCGGTATTATCATGGCTCCTGATTTTATTTACCATGGAACCAGGATCTAGCATTCTGAGCACAAATAGAAATACCAAGGTAATAGTACTGGGATTTTCCATTCCTTTTTGAATTCTGTGTTGACAGTAACTGAACTCCTATACTTCCAGAGCCATCTTTCATGAACTTTTCCTCTATGGAAACTTTACTTACGATGGTACACTGTGAATCAAGTAAAGAGTAAAACATAATAATAATAGCAGTCTCTTTGTGAAAAAGTTAACTGGCCAACTTGATACATATTACTACCTGGCTAAAGTTATTATTCTAAATTCAATGCTTAACAATATCTTCCTAGGTGTTAAGTGCACTTATAAAAATTTACTGCCGAAAACTTTTATCAACACTAGTATTTTTTCATAAACTTATAAACACCAATATGACAGACTTATTCTTTTTTCAGAGGTTTTACATTAAATCAGACACTTTTCTTAAAGCCTTTCCTATGAATTATTAAGTCATTAAAATATAAGATTTTATATCAACTTTCTGTTTTTCTCCATAGCCTTATTCTATAATTTAGCACAGGGCATGATGACATGAATGTCCTATTAAATCTACGTACCAAATGCTGAAGTCCAGGAAGTGTTGAGTCAGATGGCCTTTACAAAAATTAGTTCTTTAAAGAATCACTATCAACTATACAAGTTATAAAACAAAGTGCTTTAGCCTTTAAAAATGTTCAGAACCAGTGCAATGATTTTTGCATAACTTGAATTTAGGGATTTCTGAGACAACAGCAAAGAAATTTTAAATGGAATTTTAATTCTTTTAAAATCAAGACACTTGATTTCTATTTAGTTTTCATAGAAATATACTGTCTCTCTGAATAAAGCCATATAAATTCTATACTAGTGATTTAATTTGGATAATACTGACCAGATTTATTTTTGTTTAAAAATAAAGAACATCTGTACATGAGAACACTATATCTCTCAGCGAATCAGATTCTAATAAAAAAATAAAAGAGAAAAAAGAAAAAGAAGGGTGAAAGGAGAAACAGTAGGCATTTTTAAATGGTATTCAAGGACAAAAAGAAAAAAAAAAGCATTCAAATGAGGACATTTCAGTAAAGATAAGTCCTGGAATAAATACCTCGCAGATTCCAATACTGAAGTATTAACATATAAAAGAAATTTTGCAAAGTAACAAAAAGGCTTCATTACATACACTCCTCACTTTTACACACGTTTATACTGAAACCAGTTTGAGGAGTGGTATTAAAAAGATCATCTACGCACGTTGTATAATTCTTTAAAGAAACATACATTTATCACAATTTTAAAATAAACGAAAATTCATAATTATAACAAATTGTACATTTCAAAGTTGCCTAACACTTAGATTTGAGGATGGATTCAGATTCGAGTAGAATCACATTTATTTCGTTTTCAAGCTACACATATTTTATCCCACGTGCACCAAATATACAAATATATTAAAAATGTGCCAGCCCCAAATTTAAAAACCCCTCAAAGGGCAAGTCAGGTGGATGTTCCAAAGGTCCTTTCAAATGAATGAGTTGCCAGTGAAAATTCATACACTAAAACAGTGCAACATCCTGGTTAAACTTTAAGCTTTCTGATGTCACAATACACGTGGCATTCTACGACAAGTGTTTTTTCCTTCTCCCTGGACTTAGCGGAGCAAGAACAAGCAGGCTTTTGAATCAGTGCTGCATGTGGAGTATTTGCTTGCTTGGGAGATTTATACCGACTGCAGTTTGGCTCTCTTATAATGTAATTTCTGGGCTATAAGCTTCTACAAACTGACAGAAATAACAGGAGATGTGAAAAATGCAACAATACTAAAAACAGATGTTGGTGTAAAATTCCAAGACCATTTATTTGCTCATTTTGCCTTTTAACGTACAATTTCCATACTGAAAACAAAGGGCATTTTTTTGACACTTACAATACCTAGAACCATGAAACATTTAGAAGAGATGAAGCAGGAAATTTATGAGATGGAGACTGGAGAGAAGTGGGAAGTAAAAAGAAGCTGAAAGACGCGTAGGCTGAAAGAAAAAAAAGTGCACCTAAGTCTACACTATCTTTTGCAGTAATCCCGTATCATCTTTTTTCTCACCCTTATTTTCTTTTCATCTAGCCTGGTAATAAGTCCAAACAGACAAGATAAAGGTCAGAGTTACTACGATTTCTGGATAAGCAAGGAACTAAGAGGAAGAACAATTAATTGTTCTTCGGCACAACTGCTTTCGTGCCCAAGAATGTGGTGGAATTTCCCCCATAATCTTTACCAAGAAATATCTTACTCAAACCTCCTGTCTTTGGAGAAATAAAAAATATGAATTTCAAGTTACATTTGTAAAATACCTAAATTCAAAAATCAAACACAGTAGTAGTAATCAGTTCTTTTTTTAAAGAGTGATTTAAAAATGGGTTTATTATAAACAACTCCGAACATCCCTTTCTTCAAAAGATTCACTTTAATAGTCCTACTATGAATGTCTTATCTGTTTAATTCCTGTGAAATGATGATCCAGAAGCTATCACAGGTAATATGACCTCTCATTCTACCACCAGCACCTGCTTTAATAGTCAAAAATAAACAGCAAGATTTGGTTACTCTGCGTTCTTAGTAACAAACTTACATGATTTCCTGTTGGAAACTTTCAGAGGCTGAACTATTATTTCTGGTCGTCTCAGAGCCAATCTCCTGGGGGAAAAGAAGGTCAATATGCCTATCAATTTTCAGTACAGATCCAAGATTAATATAACACCAAAATAATAAAAGTCTTAAGGAAAAAGAAATGGAAAGTTAGGGGGGAAATGAACACGATGCAATCTATTCGAATTAAGAAATAAATACTCTTCTTTCAAACTTTTATAAATTACCTTCATTCCAAAATCCTTCTTCTTTTTTTTCCGTCCTTCACATCAATACAGTCTCAGATATTAATGTGCTATTTTCCACTTGCTTCATAACAAAAACTGAATATGACCTGGTACTGTCATATTATTTTTGGTCATTATTCATACTTAGACAAAACAGAAATCCAAACCTGAGGGATAAAGGATTCTAAGGCAAGGTTTTAGTGCTTATTTTATCATAACTATGCTGGAGTGATATTTTGCAGAGAACGAAAGGTCAGTTGAAGAAAGGCCATCTTTACTTGCCAGTAGCTCACCTTTCCTGGAAGTGCTTTGAAGGAATCAAGCCTGCTCTGGGATTGGCATCACCTTCATGCTTCGCTTGCCACCATGTTGCATCATCTTGGCTCATAATCTGAAGAATATCTCCCTTTTTGAAAGAAAGCCCAGCTTCCTTACATGGAATTGCTTTATCCTCATTAGGGTCATAGTCAAAGAGGGCTTTGATAAACATCTGGAAAAAAGTTCCATTTAAAATGAATAAATATAAATGTGAAATGGCCAGCATTCTTCTAACTCTGATTTAAGAACAATTTTTTAAAAATACAATATTAAAATAAACTTGTCATGACAAAGAAGATATGTATTAGAGGAAAAAAACACCATTTCCCCCCACAAAAAAGATTCTTAAGTAATGATTACCTTGCCTTCTTTAGATGGTGTCTCTTCTTTGATGCTGGGTATGATCTTAAATGTAATTGCTCCCTGCGACTGAGCCTTATATCAGAGGAAACAAAGAATTATTAGGCAACTTCTAGAGCCAAGAAAAAGTAAAATAGGTTAGAAAACTAAATGCATCTAAAAATCTACAAGTATGGGGTTTCTACTCTTAGAACAAACTGAGAAACTATTTTTGTAGAAATTCCTGTAACATGAGAAAGCACTAAAGCTTGTCAAATAAGTTAAAAACCATCGACCATTAAATCCACTTTTACCTCCTGTGCACTTAAAATGCCAATGAATATATTACCATCCATGTTGAGTTACTTTCGAATGGAAACACAGAATATGCACAGTGCTTTTATACAGATAATTATAAATGTTGAGAACAGATAATGTGCAAGGTTCAGACTATTACATTTAAGTATCGGCATCCATGTTTTTAGAAACAAAATACCTATACTGTCAGTTATAGTTAGAAATCTGTGATTTAATTAGTTGCAATGTTCATCAGAAAAAATAAAAAAACAAAAAGGAACATTTGTCTCTATTCTGGTTAGTGAGTAAAATACCAAATGTAATACATTAATTAAAAGATGAAAGAATTGAGTATCTATTCTAATTTAATTAAAACAAGCAACAATACTCATAATTCTTTGCTGACTATCTCAGACAAGGATAAGTCTCCCTTTAACAAATTCTCATGTCATTCATCTCTCTCTCTTTTTAGCATTTATCATAACCATATCTCAATAATTATTTATACAATTATTTCCTAATATCTGTTACCCTGCTAATTGTAAGCTCCATGAAAGCAGTAAATAGCTGGCACATATTGAAGAGAGGGAATAAAAGAGGGAGACAGGCAGATACAGGGGAAAGCAGGCAGGGAAGGAAAGGAGAGGGGTGAATGGGTAGATCTCTCTGAGGCTCATTACAAGGGGTGTGCTGGTAAACAAGGACCATGTTTTATTTAAAAAAAAAAAAAAAAAAAGAGGCCCTGATTTGTATTGTTTGCCAATGTCCAGACCAATTTTATTAAAAAAAAAAAAAAAAAAAAAAAGAGGCCCTGATTTGTATTGTTTGCCAATGTCCGTGGTATAAATACTCCCACTGTAGCCAATTATAATTTACCAGTGTGAAGTCACTGAAGCCAAGCTGGGAAGAGTTGTCTAGAATCAGCTATTGTAAGCCTAAGAAGGAGATCCAGTAAGCACAAAGACTCAAGTAAAATGGAGTTTTAACAGTATAAATATCAGAATTTTATAAAGGAGTGATTTCAAAATGGCAATATCATTGTTGCTGCTTATCATAAAAGTAATTCACAAATCTTATTAAGAATTCATACACTCAGTAGGGAGAATTCATACACATAGGTAGAGAGAAAGCAAGTCTTCTCTATAATCCCTTCCCATTCTTCTAGTTTTCTGTGTGTGTGTGTGTGTTTTAATGTATATAAAGCCCTTAGGATGGTGTTATTAAGAGCTCAATCAATGTAAGCAATTATTACTATTATTATTAAGTAATATAAGTCTATCAGCCATTGTGATTGCCTCATGGTACTTCATCACATGGATAAATGATTATTCAATCATTTCAACCTTCTTGATAGTTTCTAATTTTTTTTTTAAGATATCTTGTTTATGCGCATTTGCCAAATTATTTTCTTAGAATTAATTTCCAACAGTTGAGTTTCTTAAGGGGTATGCAAATTTAAAATTTTGATAGTTTGAATAGCCATCTCAAAAGGCTCTATTAACTTATCCTAATACTAAAAGCATGTAAACGTATCTATTTCCCTATAATCTGGCTAACTCTAGGCATTTTCAAGTTTTTAAATCCCCAATAATTTTCAGACATCATGTTTTCTTTTGTAAATTGTGCATTTGCTTTGCCAATTTTCCTGTAACTGTTTTTTTAACTAATTTTTATGAACTCTCCATGCATTAAATATTAGCCTTGTGTCATATATATTGAAAATTTTTTCTACAATCTCATTTACCTTTTAAGTTTTATGTCTGGCATCATTTTCTCTACATAAGGTTTTCAATCCTATAGTCTCATTAGTTATTTTCTATTTGAAATTACCACCGCTAAAGAATTTTTTTTGTAATTTTTTAAAAACGTAAATATTTAATTTGTCAGGACTTATTTTTGTGTGTGTGGTATAAAATAGGGACTGATTTTATTTATTTCTAACTGAATCACCAATTAATCCAATATCATTTACTATTTCATTTTTTTTCCCACTAATATAAGATGCCATCATAATCATATACTAAATTTCATATATACCGAGGTCTATTTTGAGATACTACACTCTCTTTTTTATTTCTGTAAGTTCATAATATGTTTTCGTATGTAACAGTCTCCCTTCATTTTATCCTTACAAACGAATATTGTCGAGGCCAAACATAATTTCAGTCTGTTTTAGACTTCAGAAGACATCTGAACCAGTCTTACAATCTCATATACCTAGAAAGCGTATCATACAGTCTGGCTATGTCGATGGGAGAAAGAGAAAGATAAATGTATCACTAACAACAGAGTAGATGACAGCTACTAAATACCTAATTTGGGACAGGCCATGTAATAAATTCTTTACATACATTAGCTCATTTAATTCTCAAAACACTCCAGTAAGAAAATTACCTCT